ATGATTTTTTACATGAAATATTTTTGATTATTTGCATGGTGTTTTTAAAGGCTTTACCGAAATGCTCAATATTTAATTTGGTTAATAAGTATGCATAGGTAGGTACATATGATGATTTTTTACATGAAATATTTTTGATTATTTGCATGGTGTTTTTAAAGGCTTTACCGAAATGCTCAATATTTAATTTGGTTAATAAGTATGCATAGGTAGGTACATATGATGATTTTTTACATGAAATATTTTTGATTATTTGCATGGTGTTTTTAAAGGCTTTACCGAAATGCTCAATATTTAATTTGGTTAATAAGTATGCATAGGTAGGTACATATGATGATTTTTTACATGAAATATTTTTGATTATTTGCATGGTGTTTTTAAAGGCTTTACCGAAATGCTCAATATTTAATTTGGTTAATAAGTATGCATAGGTAGGTACATATGATGATTTTTTACATGAAATATTTTTGATTATTTGCATGGTGTTTTTAAAGGCTTTACCGAAATGCTCAATATTTAATTTGGTTAATAAGTATGCATAGGTAGGTACATATGATGATTTTTTACATGAAATATTTTTGATTATTTGCATGGTGTTTTTAAAGGCTTTACCGAAATGCTCAATATTTAATTTGGTTAATAAGTATGCATAGGTAGGTACATATGATGATTTTTTACATGAAATATTTTTGGAAGTTAAAAATACATTGTTGAATGTTACATTCAGAGAAGAGGACAGACACTTCCCCAACACAGACTCTTTGGAGTTCATATCTTCCATACTTTCGGCTAGTTCTTGAATTAATAAGCTTTTAACTAAAAGATTTGCACACTAGTTATAATTGCTACTGTTAATCGTCAAATGTAAAATGATTATCTTGCTGGGTGGATGATTGTTGTAAGGATTTGAAACAAATTATTATTGCGTGCAAACAAGATATAGATGCTTTACTACTAATGTAAGTAACAAGATGATAGATGTTTTACTGATATTACCAGTTATATTTTTTTTAGGAGCATTCAAAAGTCGCTCCAACGGTCCTTAAGTCTTTGACAGTAACCAATTTCAATGAAAACAACGAGCATGAACTGGGAAACATCGATGACGTCAACAGCGATTCCAAAGTTGAAAACCGCAGCTGCCATTTGCTCAATAACAATTTTTTTGATAATATAGATAACCCTGACCGGAGCAACGATGCCAGCAACAACAGATCCTGTGACGTCACGAATGACACCAGCCAACATAACAATGTTAATCAAAATGAAGCTTTCCGCGAAACACATGACGACAACTCTTCCTCATCCAAAGATACAAACAATTCATTCAGAGACACAAACAACAACTCATCCAAAGATACAAACAACAACAACTCATCCAAAGATACAAACGACAACAACTCATCCAAAGATACAAACGACAACAACCCATCCAAAGATACAAACGACAACAACCCATCCAAAGATACAAACGACAACAACCCATCCAAAGATACAAACAACAACAATCCATGCAAGAATACAAGTAAAAATTCATACACAGATAAAAATAATAACAATTTCCGTGCAGACACAAATAACAATTGATCAACGACATGCATGAGAGAAATCCTCAAACCACATAGTAAATGTATGGATTCCAGCTGAAAGAAAATCCTGATCCATCCGATAAAAAGATTAATTTCTATGAAGAGAATAATTTAATTTGATTGATGTTGGATTAATGTTACATAACTTTTAGCATAATATGAACAACTTTTTGATTCAGTTGCCAATATGGCGTTGCATTAAAAATCACAAGGGGTTATAAGGTCAAGGTCACGATTGAAGAAACATCAATGTTAAAAAATACATTCTCTCTATTCAACATAACCGCCACATAAAAAACTATCCAATTCGGCCCTAATTCAAAATGTAAACGATTTAAATAAGCAACAAGACATGTTTTTCAAGTTTTTAGGCCAGGATATCAGCAGGACTTTTAATTCTTTATTTATTTTTGTGGATATTTCTTGTTTTAAAAGCTAAA